TCATTGTTGTTTGGCGGGCCTGGGCTGGGGATTTGAACCCGCCACCTTAGGTGTATGTGGCTGGCGCCTTAGCCGCTTGAGCCACAGGTGCCGAGCCGGGGCTAAGGGTTTTCAACAGCCCAGAAGAAATAAGGGAGCTACTTTGTCACCCTTGGTAGAGTCATCCTGGTGTCAGAGCTCACAGCAACCTCCAATTCCTGAGCTTAGGCGGTTCTCCTGCCTCAGCTTCCTGAGTAGCTGGGACTTTAGGCATCCACCGCAACACCTGGCTATTTTTTTGTTGCAGTTTGGCTGGAGCTGTGTTTGAACCTGCCACCCTTGGTATATAGGGTCAGTGCCCTACCCACTGAGCCACAGGCACAGCCCTATATTTCCTATTTTATAGTTAGGAAACTAAGGCTCAGAGAGGCTGACATTCCTCAAATCATAATGCTCTTAAGTGGCAAAGTCAAAATTACCTCTCTCTCTCTTTCTTTTATCTTTTTTTTTTTTTGAGACTGAGTCTTACTTTGTAACCCTGGGTAGAGCGTTGTGGTGTCATAGCTCACAGCAACTTCAAACTCTTGGGCTCAACTGATCCCCTTGCCTCAGCCTTCTGAATAGCTGGGACTATGGTGCTTGGCATAACAACCAGCTAGTTGGCTTAGTGCTTGTGGCTCAAGCAGCCAAAGTGCAAGCCACAAGCCACAAGCCACATACACCTGAGCTGGTGGTTTCGAATCCAGCCCGGGCCGCCAAACAACAATGACGGCTGCAACCAAAAAATAGCCAGACATTGTGGCAGGCACCTGTAGTCTGAGCTACTTGGGAGGCGGAGGCAGGAGAATTGCTTGAGCCCAGGAGTTGGAAGTTGCTATGAGCTGTGATGCCACGGCACTCTATCCAGGGCAACAGCTTGAGGCTCTGTCTCAAAAACAAATAAAAAAACCCGGCTATGTTTTCTGGTTTTAGAATAGATGTGGGCTCGGTACAAGTAGCTCAGTGGGAAGAGGGCAATAAATTGTGATAGGCTAGATATGTTAGACGTTGTTATTTGAAGTGATCATATAATTTCAAATATACTATTTAGGAGCAAAATGTGGGGCAGCTGAGGATGCTTTAGAAACATGGTAGAGGTGCCATCTATAGAAATTTGAAATTTTAGTTTAGTTTCTTCACTAACTTGTAGTTTCTTTAAGGATCAGGAAAAGTATTTTTATTCCCAGTACATGGTGTTTAACTCGTGATACTTGTTAATATTTACTAAAAGATGGATTTTTAAAAAGCTAATTATCTGTTTGTTTTTTTCAGAGGAATTTGGATTGCATAAAAGTTGTTGGCTTGGCGCCTGTGGATCAAGTGGCTAAGGCACCAGTCACATACACCTAAGGTGGTGGGTTTGAATCCAGCCCGGGCCTGCCAAAAGAACAATGGCAGCAACCAAAAAGTAGCCGGACGTTGTGGCGGGCACCTGTGATCCCAGCTACTTGGGAGGCTAAGGCAGGAGACTCAACTTGAGCCCAGGAGTTGGAGGTTGCTATGAGCTGTGATGCCACAGCACTCTACCCAGGGGGATAGCTTGAGGCCCTGTTCCACCCCCCCCCCAAAAAAAAAGAAGTTGTTGAGTCTCACATTTACTTAAAGCATGAGCTTTTTTATTTAATTGAAAAATATTCTCTAGGTCTTAGGATTTTTGTGATACCATTTTTTTCTTACTGAGAACATAACATTTTCATTGTTTTACAAAGTAAAACTATTGCAAGCAGAATTCTCTTTCACAGAATGAAGAGAATGGATAAAGTATGTTAATAATTTACTTTGCTGGTACTTTCTAATTTATAAAATGCTTTTCAAATACAGTATCTCAACTGCATTTTAAAAGTTGTCAGACAAATCCATTGAAATGGGTGTTGGGAAGATGAGTAAAAATTACAGAGAATGATATTCCTGTAATTCACACACGTACATATATATATATATATGTGTGTATATATATATATATAACACACATACAGGATGAGTGTCCCAAATATGAAATCCAAAATGCTCCAAAATCTGAAATCTTGAGCAAAAGGAAATGCCTATTGGGGCATTTTGGATTTTTGCATTTGGAATGTTCATTTGGGGAGTATAATGGTATGTACAGTTTCAAAATCCAAAGTCTCAAATCTGAAACATTCCTTTCTTTTTTTTTTTTTTTTTCTTATTTTTTTTGAGACAGAACCTCAAGCTATCACCCTTGGTAGCACCATGGCGTCGTCATAGCTCACAGCATCCTCCAACTCTTGGGCTCAAGTGATCCTGTTGCCTCAGCTTTTCTATTTTAGTAGAGATGGGGTCTTGTTCTTGCTCAGGCTGGTCTGGAGCTTGTAACCTCAAGCAATTTACCCTCAGCCTCCCAAAATGCTAAGATTACAGGAATGAGCCACTGTGCCTGGCCCTGAAACATTTCTCATCTCATACATTTTTGGATAAGGGATACTCATCCTGTGCTAAATTGGGTGATAACACTTTTTTTTTTGAGACAGAGCCTCAAGCTCTTGCCCTGGGTAGAGAGCACTGTAGCATCACAGCTCACAGCAGCCTCTAACTCCTGGGCTCAAGCGATTCTCTTGCCTCAGCCTCCCGAGTAGGCGCCTGCCACAGCGCCTGGCTATTTTTTGGTTGTAGTTGTCATTGTTTGTCAGGCCTGCGTCAGATTCAAACCCACCAGCTCTGGTGTATGTGGCTGGCGCTTTAGCCACTTGAGCTACAGGCACCAAGCCAACACTTTTTTTTTTTTTTATTGAGAGCTGAGACTTCAAGAGGTAGCTAGGGAGTAAGCAGCAGAAATAAGGTTGAAATTCTGTTCTAATTTTTAAGGCCAGTGCTATACATTTAAGTTTAATCAGAAACTTTCCTTGATGATTTTCTTTTGTTTTCCAGAGATTGAAACCAACAAATCCAGCAGCCCAGAAGGCTCTTACTACACCTACTCATTATAAATTGACACCCCGCCCTGCCACTAGAGTGCGACCAAAGGCTTTACAGACAACAGGCACAGCCAAGTCACATCTCTTTGATGGATTGGACGATGATGAACCATCCCTAGCCAATGGAGCGTTCATGCCCAAGTGAGTTTATTTTTGTATTCATAAATACAAAATATTGATATAAAAAATAACGTGTTAATTATTTAAATGTATGACAATGTTGTACATTTTTTTGTTTTGTTTTGAGATAGACTCTCTCTTTGTTGCCCTCCGTAGATTGCTATGGCGTCACAGCTCACAGCAGCCTTCAGCTCTTGGGTTTATTTAGGTGATTCTCTTGCCTCAGCCTCCCGAGGGCACCCACCACAATGCCCAGCTATTATTTTGCTGCAGTTTGGCTGGGGCCAGGTTCAAACCCACCATGCTTGGTATGGTATATGGGGCTGGCACCCTCTACTCACTGAGCCATAGGCATTGTGGTCAGTGCCTGTAGTCCCAGCTACTCGGGAGGCTGAGGCAAGAGAATCACTTGTGCCCAAGAGTTTGAGGTTACTGTGAGCTGTGACACTATGGCACTCTACTGAGGGTGACAAAATGAGACTATCTAAAAAAAACAAAAAGAGGGTAGTTTGGTGCCCATAGCTCAGTGAGTGAGTAGGGTGCCAGCCACATACACTGAGGCTGATTGGTTTGATCCCCGCCCAGGTGTGCTAGACAGCAATGATGACTGTAACAACAACAATAAAAAACAGCCAGATGTTGGTTGTGGCAGGCATTTGTAGTCCCAGCTACTTGGGAGGTTGAGGCAAGAGAATCGGTTAAGCCCAAGAGTTTGAGGTTGCTGTGCGCTGTGATGCCACGGCACTCTACCAAGGGTGATAAAGTGAGATCTGTCTCTAAAAAAAAAAAGAGAAGGAAAGGAAGAAGGGGCAACCTGGGTAGCCGGTATTTTTATTTTATTTTATTTTATTATTTTTTTTTTTTTTTTGAGACAGAGCCTCAAGCTGTCCCCCTGGGTAGAGTGCCT